TAGAATCAATTAGATAAATGAGACAGTACAGTACTTTCTAAGTGCTCAATATACACGATATGTTACAATTAATATAGCCTATTTCAATGAGAAAAGGACCTGGTAGTGACGTCTACATCCATAAGTTTAGAAATACATACCAATTAATAGATCAGAACAATAGGAATGTACTTAGTGCCACTGAACTGTATATTTAAAGATGGTTAAAATGGTAAATTTTGTTATATACGTGTGTGTGTGTTTTAATCCTCATCCAAGGATATTTTTTCCACTGATTTTTAAAGAGAGTGGAAGGTTCTAAAAAAATAAATAAATAAATAAAGAGAGTGGAAGGGAGGGGAGAGAGAGAAACATTGATGTGAAAGAGATACATTGATTGGTTGCCTCCCACATGTGCCCTGACCAGGGCTGGGGATCAGACCTGCAACCCAGGGAGGTGCCCTTGACTGTGAATCTAACCCATGATGCTTCGGTGCAAGAGCTGACGTTCTAACCACTGAGCACATCACCAGACCTGTTATGTATATTTTATCACAGTAAAAAATTGTTAAGCTATAATCACTAGTAGACTCTATAATAAAAACTCATCACTTATTTGATATTTTGACTAATTGAAGCAGGTTGTCAGAAATTCCAGATCAAGCCCAATCCAGTAAGCCAGCAATGAGATATGCATCTGTGTATTATTAAATAAGCATTCTATTTGCAATTTGCTTTCACCTCTTCTAGAACCTAGGGTTTCAAAATTGATGAGTAACATTTTCTACTTACCTTTATTTCTTAGATGCAAGTTACCAAAGTTTACTCTGCAGATAAACATAAAAGGAAATACAGCTTTTTTACTACCATTGAGCTCCTGAGTAAGGTAAGAATTAGTGGAGCCTGTGTTTGAGACATTTATTTGAGATCCTAACATATCCTATGAAATGCTGTTATTTAAAATTTAAATATCTAAGGTTACAAAGGGGATCATTATTAAGGCAGAACTTCTCCCTCTAGTAGGTTGCAAAGGTCCTGAAGCCTGCAGCTACTATGATCTAAGCCAGAGTTTATATTTAGAGAGTGGTTCTCCCGCTGTAAAATTACTAGTTCTGGGCAGCTGAATGGGTCTGCAGACTAATGGAGTGGATAAGCAGATACACTGCTAAGGAAAAAACAACAAATTTCCTGAGAGCTTCTGAGACCCTTTAAAGTGTGAGGAGTGTTCTCTGTCTGTCTCTTTCCTTATAACTAGAAGGAATGTGTTTTATATCAGCAGGGATTGATAGGAGAGTGAAAAGCAAAGTCCCTGGATTGCAAGATCATGTTTCATACTTTAAAGAGCTTTCAGGAATAAAAGGGAAAGTAAAATATAAAGCTTTACAAAAATTCTTGTGGCTAGTGATGTAGCACTCACCACAGAAAACTAGTTTATTTCTAGTCCAGTTTATTCCTAGAAAATAAATAAATGTAGCTGAGGTTACATTTTTTCTGTCACTGACATATTCCGCTTGTATTTTTCCATCCATTAGCAATGTTTTGAACTTTAACACTATTAAAGAAATTATGCCCTACATCGTTTTCCTTTCCTTTCTGCTAATCAATGTTTCAGATTAAATTTTTCAGTGCCCTTTTTTAGTGAAAGTAAAGCTTATTTTCAGAATTTTAAATAAGGTTGTTTGAAATACTACAAATGATGGTTTCATAGAGGGTATTATCTGCTTTCTTAAAAATTGGGACAAAAAATGAGGCTAAAATGCCCAATAGCAAGATGGAACTTCTCCAACAGAATTGGTTGACTTTCTGGTTTGAAATAGTAGGCATCTACATCCCACTCATTTTAGGCAATGCTAAAAGAAAAGGGGTATGTGATAATATTTAAAGCAAAACTCCACTGACTTACTGAAAGCAATTGGGCCCAAACACAGTGGCGAGATTGTGGACATTCATGCGATTCTGCACATGGTGCTCGGCTACCTTTGTCAAGAACTGGCAGAGGTACTTGAGGAGGCAGTAGTGGGTGTCTGGCAGCTCTTTTATTAAGGCTCTTAAGCTATTCTCCTGAGCATCATTTGTGTCATCTGAAAAGAAAAATAAAAATGTACTCAGGCATATTTCACTGCGACAATAACAAAAATACACAGATATTTAAATTCTAACACTTTATTCAGAAAAAAGATTCCTAAAGACTGAGATAGGCCATCAAAAAGGGCACTTTTGGCCCTAGCCGGTTTGGCTCAATGGATAGAGTGTCGGCCTGCGGATCAAAATTCTGGTTTCGGTTTCGATTCCAGTCAAGGGCATGTACCTTGGCTGCAGGCTCCTCCTCAGCCAGGGCCCTGGTAGGGGCTCTTGCAGGAGGCAACCAATCTCGATGTGTTTCTCTCACATGTGTTTCTCTCTGTCCTTCCCTCTCTCTTCTACTCTCCCCACAATCAACAGAATCCTTGGGTGAGGATTAACACAACAAAACAAAAAAGGGCACTCACTTTTGCTTTTCCTATGCTCCTTAAGCGTTCAACTTTTTGAAATGTTAAAGAATTTCTAACTTATTCAAGACATGCTGAAAACCAAGAGCTTTATTCACTGCATGAAATGGGTTCCTTTAAGTGAAAAGATGAAAGTTCTTGACTTAAGAAAAATCATATCTACTATAGTAAAAACAAACATTGTATTCCTGAAATTGTGAAGAAGTAAAAAGGAATTCATGCTAGTTTTCCCTTGCACCTCAAACTCCAAAAGTTATGGCCACAGTTCGTAAGTGCTTAGTTAAGATGGGAAAGCATTGAATGGCTTCAGGGTAGAACACGTGAACAGAAAACAAGTTCCAATGGACAACAACAGCGTTGCACCAGAAAGCATTGAGCCTACATGGAGACTTTAGCAGGGGACCGGCCCCCTGTAATGAGTAACTCTGAGCCATTTACTGAAAGAAAGGAAAAAATTGCACAGAAATAAGTCTGGACTGAAAATATAAAAATTACTGGAGAGAGAGAGAGCACTCAAATTCACAAAATTTTTATTACAATATAGCATGATTGATCTATTTTATTATTTGTTATTACTGTTGTTAATACCTTACTGTGCCTAATTTATAAATTTACCATAGGTATAAATGTATAGGAAAAAACATCATATGTATAGGATTAGGTACTATCTGCAGGTTTCAGGCATCCACTGGTGGGGGGGGGGGGTTGTATATATCCTCCTCGAATACGGGGAGACTTGACTGCTGTACCTATGTGACCTTAGACTTTACTAAATTGTTTCCTTATTTTTAAATGGTAATATTAACTATCTTATAGGGTTGTGATGGGGATTAAATGAAATACTTGTAAAGTACTTAAAAGAGTGATTGACACATACTAAATGCTATAAGCATTAATAGCTCCTTTTACTGTACCTCCATTGAGGTGTGGTTTTATGACCACACTGAGGCTGAAATGAAATGCCTTTAATACGAGCGCAGTTCACCTTTATGAATGTTAGAACAAGTGATGCTACTAAACAGCAATGCCAGAAACATTGTGTAGATTTCCATCTTTGTTAGAACTGTTTCGCAAAACATTCTATTTATAATCAGAATTATTATTTCTTACTGACCACAATGTGATGCAATAAACTAATTTTTAGGGTGAAATAGATTTCTTGATATTAGAGGCTTTTCATATTAAGTTACTTTTAACAATGAAATAAATCATATTCAAATACTTTGATAATCCATGTAGTATGTTGCTTATGATGGCATTCTTCCCCACTGCATAAAGATCTTGACTAGCAGAGTCAAGATTTACTTGACCAGAAGTAAGAAAGGGAAATAATTACATTTGGAGGTTATTAAAAACTAATTAAAGACTAACCATTTCTCATATCTGTATATTAGAGCAATAAATAACTATGAAGAGAAAATATAATTCTATTTTGCTTTTTTTTTTTTTTACAGTGATTAATCCAAAGTGAGTCTCGATGTTTTCATGGGTGTGTTTTCTCTGTTTACAACTGCGGTTTACACCATCCCGACTTCCTTGCTCATTTTCCTGCTTCCATTGTGACTGTATGTTTATGTTTGAGTTGTCTTTATAAAAAGTTATTGCTGGAAGCAATTTATTACTAAGCTTCATTTGCATTATTACAAGAGGCTGCAGTACATTTTACAATATTCATTCATTGTATAATATTCCATTCTGCCTTTACCACAGTTTATCCACTCCCCTCTTAAAGGTTATTTGGGTTGTTCCAAATGCTTCCTGGGGACAGTGCTGCAAGGATCATTTTTGTACATAACTCCTGGTGTACATGTACAGAGTGTATCTTGGGGTATATTGAAGAGTGAAATTGTTGGGTTATTGTATGAAACTACAAGTTTACGTATAAATAATACTGCTTTGCAAAGAACAAATTAACCTCTATATGTACATAGAGAATAGAAACAATAAAAGTTAAGATTAAACACATGTAAATATTTAAAAATATAAAGTTAAAAAAATATAGAAGTGTACATTTAAGGGTACAAGCAACAGAATTCCAACAGCCCTGGAAATGAATGGGCCACTGGCCTCGGTCTGACATGAAATTTCAAACCCTTGCATGCGAAGACACCTCATCAAATAAAATAAATTCTCAAATAGTTATGAATTTATGACAATAGCATCCTTAAAAATGTAACATTTTCATCATTTACTTCCAATTTTTGAAATGCAATAAATAATCTTCCCAAGGAAATAAAATGGACAAATAATGGGAATGGAAACAGATATATTCAGAGACTCTCAAGCTTATTAAAATAATATTAAATCCTTTATGGCGTGAATGGAAGAATCACTAAACATATTCTCAAAAAAACAGAAGTAATTGAGGAAAATATGTCTTATCTTTATCTCATTCTATGCCCCCAAACTTCCATTTCCTCTGATGGAAGATGGATTCACTGATTCACTCACTGGGCGAGAATCTTGAGTGTCCTCTACTTCAGTGGTTTTACATACCACATTCGAACCTTCAATAGTCACAATGGACCTCCTGAATTTTTCTTTGAACACACTGACAGTGCAGTAAAGGCCTTTCTTTATTAGCATATTTCTTCTCACTTCTTTTCATACTGATTAATTATGTGCTAACATACTGAGAATCTGCAGTTTGCACTGCTTTCCAGAAATATGTGGTAAATAGCACCATTACAGCAAAGCTTCCTACACAAGAGAATCACCACGGCTCGACTCCTTTGGAGAAGCTTATAGGAGAATGTAGGAGAATGCCCAGCAAAGCACTGAGTCTGGGAGTCTGGGTGCAAATGTGCCTAATAAGCAGATGCCTTTTCATGTTTGTGAGAAACACAGTTCATAATAATTACTTTATTATTACTTTCATTATCTTTTGATTTGCTGATACCTAAATATAATAAATACTACCTATTCACTCATGTTCTTGCATTTATATTAGTAATTACAATGGCTCCCTCGAGTTTTCACATTATAAAAAGGAATCAGCAGTGCTTCTATGAATTAATACACTTTAATTCATGATACTTATTGCACACTATCTATAATATTTCCAGGTGTTTTCTATGTGTCTGACAACACTGAAGATACAGCACTGAACAAAAAAACATCATGCTTTTATGAAACATATTCAAATCAAGGGGAGAGATTTGAATCAAACGATCAGTAACGTAAGTGCTATGAAGAAATATAAAGCAGGGTAAGGGGAAATAAAGCCGCGTTATGCAGGGGTGGGGAATGTTATTTCATGAAACACAGTCAGGGGTTAGGGAAGGCCTCTCTAATATGGGGACCGCTAAGCAGAGAGCTGAAGGGAAGAGGGAAGTGCATTCTAAGCAACGAAAAGGGGGCCCTGAAGGGGCCTTGGGGCTGGGGCCACGTGGTATAGGTGGGAGAGTAGTAAAAAATAAAGTCAGGAGACAGTGTGGGGGAGGACTAGGGCCAGCCAACACAGTCTTATTTTAAACTATGGCCTCCCCTCCCCCCCCCACTGCCACCCTGAGTGAGGGTCCTGAGCTGTGGGGGGATGTGACTTTAGGGGCCACTCGGGCTGCTGTGCTGAATCTAGGCTCTAAGGGGCAAAGTCGAAAGCAGGGAGACTAGGGAGGGGACTATTGTGACAGCCCAGAAAAGTAAAAGCCAGCTGTCATCCCTGGACCAGAGGTTGACAGCAGTGAGATGGTAAGACATGTGCAGATTCTGGATAAAGTTTAAACGTGTCTTGTTTGTTCTAAATATGTAAGTTGTTTTATCTATGTAAAATACATGTATGAAACAATCATTCAAGAAGTCTTTATTGAGTGGTTTATTCTATGCTAGGCAAAATTCTAGGCATTTGTGATGCAGCAGCAAGCAAACAAACCAACCCCTACCTTCATGGAGCTTAGAGTCTAGTAGGTAAGATGTTAAACAATAAATATAGTAACAGGGCTAGGGGAGCGGGGAGTACCAGCCTGGTGAGGGATGGTGACTGAAATTAGAAATAAGATTTTCAGGAAGGCCTCACTGAGAATGTGTCTGATGTTTATAGGCAGTTTAAGTTAAAAAATAAAAATCCACAAACTGGCAAATGTGAGCTCAGAGTTGGAGGTTCAGTTTCAAATGTCTCTTAAAGCCCCTCAATAAATTCCTTGCATATAAAAAGTGGTTTAGAAATAGTTTTAGCCCTGGCCAGTGTTGGTAAGTGGTTAGAGCATCGGTCCATGTACCAAAGAGTTGTGGTTTCTATTCTTGGTCAAGGGCAGGTACCTGAGTTACAGGTTTGCTCAGTAGGGGCATGTGTGAGAGGCAACCAATCCATGTGTCTCTCACATAGCAATGTTTCTCTTTCTTTCTACATATCCCTCCCTACCACTCTCTCTAAAAAATCAATGGAAAAAAATATCCTTGGGTGAGGATTGAAAAAAAAGATAGCCTTAATAGACTGATACACACTTATGACACACTTTTAAGACAAAGTAAGCCAAACTAGCATAGGAATTAAGAGACTCCTATATCTCGAATATATCTGAAAGAAAAGTGGAATAATTTAATCTATTTAAAGAACTAGCTGGTTCAAAGTGTTAAGTTGGAGTTGGATTAAA